TGTTTCCAGTAATACAGCCCACATTGAAAACATTTTGTTGACCCTTTATCTTGATAAGATCAACTCAAATGTTTTGTGTGAAGTTTTTCTTTCAGACCTATTTCCTCGGTGGGGCATTTCATACTTTCGGGCAAAGAGGGGCAGCGCCAGTGGGCAGTGGCCAGTGGCGTAGCTAAGTAGTGGCAGATGGGGCATGCGTCCCCGTATGCCAGGCTAGCGGGGGCACAAAAATGGGCTTTAATGGTGTTTGATGGTTGAAAATAATTAGTTAATTTCAGACTTGGGGGGGGGGGGGCGTAAAAATGAATAATGTTCCCCGATGCCAAACTAGCGACGCCCCTTCCAGAGGCGTCGGAAAGGGAAAGGTGGGGTTGCGCACTCAGGTTTCTGGCTAGCGGGGGCACAAAAATGGGCTTTAATGGTGTTTGATGGTTGAAAATAATTAGTTAATTTCAGACTTGGGGGGGGGGGGCGTAAAAATGAATAATGTTCCCCGATGCCAAACTAGCGACGCCCCTTCCAGAGGCGTCGGAAAGGGAAAGGTGGGGTTGCGCACTCAGGTTTCAGAGTTTGTATCGTGAAAGGGAGAGGGGAAAAATGTTTGACCCCTCCCCATTTTGGCACCAAAAGTAGCGACGCCTCTAGGTAGTTTATCTCTCGTCACCGAAATTCTCGAACATTTTCATCAGGGTGAAGGGTAGAATTCGAGGGTGCTGATGAATCTTTCGTTAATTTATACAAATATAAATACAAGCAAGACAAAAATCATAATGGTAAACTCAACCAAAGAAAAGTATATCTCTCTGGTAGGAAATGCACTGGAAGAAGTGGAGTCCTTCACGTACTTAGGTAGCACCATTGACATACATTGTGGATCCGAAGCGAAAGTAAGGTCTAGAACTACAAAAGCTAGGTCAAAATCTGGGAGTAAAAGGAGCTGACTCTTCAAACCAAAGTCAGAATTTTCACCACAAAAGCCAAAACAGGCCTACTATATGGAGCAGATACTTGGAGCACATCAGCAAACATCACGCAAAAAGTACAGACCTTCATAAATACTTGTCTTAGAAAAATCCTGAAATCAAATCGCCAAACAACATCACTAACAGAGACTTACTAGACGGAACATACCAGGAGCCTATTGCTGAAGACATCAAAAGGAAAACATAGATGTAGATAGGGCACACTCTCATCAAACCCCCATACACCATCACCAGACTATCCCTAACTTGAAATTCACAGGGAAAAAGAAAGAGAGAAAGCCCCAAAATACATGGAGACGCGAGCTGGAGGGAGACACAGAAATTATGGGATACACATGGAAGCAACTGAAAAGGAACGCACAGGACAGAGATGAATGGACAATTCTTGTAGATGCCCTATGCCCAAGACGGGGTAAAAAGGCATAAGTACAGAAGTAAGTGAGATGAATCTTGAGAGGTGGAAGGTTCTGGGGAGCCTTTATCCAAATATTTTTTTTTATTACTTCACAATCAAGCGGCGCATTTTAGAGTCTAGTTGAATTTAATGTTCCTATCAGACTTTTTGATCAGGAACAAGACATTTTGAAGGTTCTGTGGAGGCATTATGGTGCCAGTGTCATACATAACTGAATTCACTTTAGTTGTGGCGAGCACCAGGGTAAACTTTGGCACCAGATTATATTCAACCCCATTCTATAACATTGATCAGCGTGAGTAAAGGTGTGCAGAGATTGAAGTTGCTGAAGACAGTCACGCAAACTCAAAATGCAAGGGTGCATGTTGGCGCTTACTTGAATTCGTTGTTTCTTTCAGACAATTTTGAGGTGACATTTTAAACTTTCGCATGGGACGCGCCCAAATTAGCCATAATAATGTTCAAAGACATCTTTAACGCCTCACCAAGGGGACATTAGCTAAATTCATTCCAGTTCTGGCGCCCTGGAGGGTGTGCATTTTCCGTAGCTTAATATCGCCTATTAAATCTTTTTATTCGCTTTCGATATAATAATTGATGAAATGTGCACTATTGGTATGCGACCGTCAAATACTTAATTTAAAAATATATAGTTTTTTTTTAAAGTTTACATTTTATATAACTCACCATTCATGGAATCGAGTATATTTATAATAATGGTAATAAAAATATATATATTTTTTAAATTTAATTTATAATTAAATTAACACTTATCCCTACTTTAAAACTTATGCTTTTTATAATGAAATGTAATTTGAAAATAGATTGCGTATGCTTGATACTTTGCAAGAACTATATTTGAATTGTAGACCTTGATTTTGAAGTTAAGGTAGTTTAATACAGTGCTTTTGAAGTCTGTACATTTTGAAGTTGCAAGAAATAAATGAATAAAAAGACCGACACTTGCGAACAACGGGAGTTGAGCCTAGGAATCAGGAGCGTCCAGTACGCTATTATTAATCGAAAACTGTAAGCCTTTAACAAGATTGGCCTTATACATACGGATTATCAAATATATCGAACGTAGCGATATTTCCTAAATTCGACTAATTGTAATCGGCTACAGGCACCAGATACTATTCTTTTTAAAACTGTTTAAAAATAACTATTTTGTAGTTTTAATTTTTAAAAAAATGTATATAATCGTTATATTGTTGTGCACATTTTGCTTCGGGGGTCACTGGACTTTTCCCGGTGGGGTCAGTGCACCCCCCGCCCCCGAGAAATGGCTTAAAGAAACCCAGTTCGTGTGTTAACGTCTCATTGTCCACACGAAACATATAATTCGAATATAATTGTAGAAGTGTATTTTTCGAATTGTTTATCAAATCTAAATGGACACTTTTATATCATATTGAATCGAGATATATCTGTGAAATGTATATATCTATAGTTAATTCCGTCCGGGGGCGGCCCAAGATTTTTGCCATCACTTAACCACGAACAAAAAACAGTTGGCCGAAAATGCATTGCCCCCTCCCGCCCCCCTCCAACCTTTTTTATTTAAAGAAATAAAACTGCTGACCTTCCTACTGGTTGGTCAGCTTTTCTCATAAATATCCAAATTTTATAGCTGCTACCAGTTAGTACTTTCTACAAACAAACAAAAATAATTTTTAAATAAATTTGTGTAAATAGTTTATTAGTTTAAAAAAAAAATATTTTTTACCCCGTATAATTTTTGAAAAATCTAATTTCCGCCATTTTGAAATATCTTGTCCATTTCCTGTTCTGTAATGAGCCAACCAGACGAGTCAGCAACGCACGAGGCAAGCCGCACCGTATTTTGGGCTCGCTAACAGCCCCGACACTCAATCATGGCTCAATGCAAGCTTTAATCAATGCTAAGAACGCTACGCCGGGCGGACCAGTCAAGTTTATTTGGTTTCGATTGATACGCCCAGGGGCCGCGTTCAGATAGCTATGTACAAAAGCCGAACGTCTCGACTTGCTTGGAACGTCTCCCACAGAGGAACTAAGCAGCAGCACACCACAAACCAGACAGGTTTCGGTTGATAGATCCGGATTTCCCTACCTGTTGAATTGAAAAGAAGTTGAAACTCATTGGAAAGTTAGCAAGAGTTTTATATTATTTTAAAAAAATATTAAGAGTTAACACAAATAATGCATGGTTGGTTTCTTAGTTAACTAATGCTCAGTTAACATGATCGAATATTCGTCAAATTTTCGTCGAATTTCCCGCTGTTTTGATTAATTATAAAAAGTGTTGGACTGCAATAAAGTGTTTTGATTAAATAAAGCTTTCAAAAAGAAATCTGACGAAAAATTGACAAACATGTGATCGTTCGAAGTGAGCATGGTCTTTTCATCATGTGTCACCAATTATACTTGGTTTCCCGAGAAAATGATTCAGGGTTCATCCTGACAACGTCCATGAAGAATAGCATCAACTGTATAAGCTGGTCAAACTGCTACTAATGGAAACTGTGTCACTGATAATTTTTTAACAAAATAATTAAAAAGATTTATTTTAAAATTCTTTTAAATAGCCTTCTTCACAGCTCTAAAGTGTCGCGGTTGTGCACTTAAAGATGTGAGTTGGGGGAAGGAGGGGGGGGTCAAGTGGACGACTCACTATAATTTGAATCTTAAAATGTTAGGAAATGCGAGTGGTGTAAGTGTGGGGAAAATGTACAGAAAAGTCACGGAGAAGAAAACAACAAATCTACATTGAGATATGAAAGCTTGCAACGAGGGTAATAGGGGGGGGGAGAGACTGCAATCAGGTTAGCGCAATATAAAATGAGAAATTGACATTTTATATTGCTTGCCATGAGATCATCCCAACGTGTGATCTAGGTAAATAAACAAATCTATAACGGATTAATCACATTTTTAAAGATAAATTAATCACAATTTTATGGCTGCAGACAAGCTGTTGATATAAGTTGTGTATGAGGAAAGAGGGGACTAAAAATCTCATCTAGAGTGAAAACGAACAGCTTTCAACGTGATCTTCATGCAACAGGTTATGCGATGGTATTCTTCAATCTCTTTTTCTTTTTATCTGTCCATTGAACTGTTGTATTTGGGTTGGTAGCTGATGAAATTGGGTTGGTAAATGTTGTATTTGGGTTGTTAGCTGTGGTACTTGGGTTGGTAGGTATCGCAGTTGGGATGGTAACCGTTGTAGTCGGGTTGGTAACTGCCAAAGTCGGGTTGGTAGTTGTTGTAGTTTGGTTGCTTGCTGTTGTAGTTGGAGCACTAATTTGTTGTGCGAATCATCATCTATGTAGTTCGATGCGATGGGGAAAAATAACAAATCCTCGAATATCAAATCCCATCCACTGTAAAACTATCAAACATTAAATTTTTTAGAACTACTTTGGAACGCGGCCTAACTTCTCATCTCCGTTCTTGAAGATTGTAAAATGCTGAAAGTGGAGCAGAGACGTGAAGGAATTAGTTTGAGTTTTCCCCACAGCAGTAGATCGATAGTTGGGGTGGAGGGTGGGGGGGTTTTCTGTGGGGGAGGGGTGGTAGGCGGGGGGCATAGGCGATGAAGGTTGTACTTTGAGACCAGACGGGCACCAGTGTATTAGGACGGAGCCACAAGCTTTTTGTACTGGGCGCTTTCTTCCAAGACACCGAATGGTAGGGAATGGTAGGGCAAACAAAAGACTTGATGTTTGAATGACGGTGTCCCTGCCTGCGGTCAGTCAATGAGGACTTGCTCTATTCTGCTAGGATGTGCTAGGATGTAACGATCGGATGTGTGAAACTTTGGTGAGAACTTACAAATAAATAGTTTTAGATTAGTCAATTCTGAATGTATTTTTGTTTGTGTTGCTTAAATATTTAAAAAAAAAAATTCAATTCTTAAAAATTCAATTCTTAAAAATTCCACAATTTCTAGGCGCTAAATAACTTAAGCTGATACAAACGACTTGATGTTGGTCACATAGAGCGACATTTCTTTTTGATATGATGCACAAAGCTTTTAATGACGTAAAATATATTAAACAACAAGCTATCGGACATTCGACATTTTAGGCCTTCTTGACATGACGTGAAATAGGAATTGAAAAGAAAACTACTGTTAAAAAACAAAAACAACAACAACAAAAAAAAAAAAAAACAACAACAACACAACAGCTCATGATTAGAAGAAATGAGTAGCATGTACAATGTAAATTGTTTTCTACGCATTTGGTCCCCCCACCCCCCTCTCTCGCTCTCTCTCTTTTTTCCTTTCTATTTCTATTTCTCTGTGTAGATCTCACACTTGATTATTTACATCTGCACTTAAACTTTTCTGTCATAAACGTATACGTATTAATATATATATAAAAAAAAACTATCATGAAACAATTGTTTAGTCACTTTAAAAAAAAAAAGCTTTGCCGTGTCTACTTACTTTACACCAGGCTGAGCTCTCAACGCGTATGTTCAGGTTGTTCCACGTTCAACATGACGTTGATTTGATGATTCATAAAGGTCAAGACCATGCTCAGCTTCACGCATATTTTTATTACGTGTCTATCTGGATTAGTTCTAAAGGCAGGTTCCATAAAATTTGTTTGATGACTTTCATTGTCCTTCAAACAAGATGCATGTTTATAATTTGTGCTCAATTATTTCTTTTTTTTTTTTTAAAATAATTTAAACTTAATGGAATCGAAATGATAATAATTTTTTTTTAAAGACTTGATCTACTTAAACAACGTTGTGTTGAAAATAATGTATGTTGTTTATAAAGAGCTTTAATATGTTAAACGTTGTCAACAACGTGCCTCTCCTGCAAATGTTTACTCTCTGACGTGCAGCTGACTTCCTGTGACACGCCCCCAGACTATGACCAGCCTCCGTCCCCAGCCTGGTCTCCTGCTGAAGGTCACCAAGACTGCTCCTTCTGGGACCAGACAGGATGCAGTAAAGGGGAGTGTTGTGTTAAAGAGGTAGGCCTCATTATTAAGCGGGCTCAACATTCCATCTTCTGTGTACTCGTCCGTGAATAAGTTCAATGCTAACCGGTGTGTCGTCGAAATATCTAAACTAATAAATAAATCCTGAGTGGGTCTTACGTGTCCGCCGCTCTCATTGCGCACGGCGATGCGCCCTTTGTTGTGTCTTCCCCCGACGCGTGCTTCATCGCTTACGCACCAAATGCACACAAAAGAACATCTGGATGCTCAATTTTGGTGCAAAGAGTGATTGCCCTTTTAAGGAGCTGGCCGTAATCTTTGAACTGTAGCTTAAAACGTAGAATGGACATTAATTTACACTCGCAACGTTATTGCATGGCCTTAGCTAATTTATCAATAGCTTGTAAGACATCACAGAGAAAAAAAAATCTTAAGCATTTATTGGGAAAAAAAAGAATGATACGAAAAAAAAAAAGCATCTGAAAGAAGAATGGTATTAATACGCTATAGAACCAAGTCACGAGATTTTTTCTTGCTTAAAAAAATAATCCAGAAATACGAGTGATATTAAAGAGGACGATGCGCGCATGCACATTGAGAGATAAGGGTCGTGATAATACATTAATAAACCACCTGAATAGATTACCGCGGTTGTCACAGATTTTAAATGAGCCAAAGGAAAAAAAAATATTGAATGCTTCTATCCCATCCCATTGACATCAGCGAATGTACACAATTTACGCAATGTACGCATTCTTTAGCTAAAAGATTTTTTTTTAAACACTAATGGATGATATCGATTTCCTCCTTTAAAACTACATTAATTTGAGTGCAGCCCACAGATAACCTTACTGAAATATGCTTCCTTCGCCGGTGGCGTTATCGTAATCTGATACCTTTCCGACATACAAGAAGATCTTTAATAAATGGGATGACTTTATGGGTAACACTAGTTTGATTTTTTTTTAAAAAAAGACATTCCTCCTCATATTTCTCTTTTCATTGGCCAACAGTTGTATTACACATTGATCATATGGACAGTGATCGGTTATAAAGTATCGAAGCGACCTGCTGGTTCTTTGTGTTTGGTTAATCAGAATTACATTGAACATCCGACGGGCGTTACAAAGCACGCTGTTTAATATTTGATACGTCTACTTGGAGGAAGTCCCGTTTTTTTTTTTTTTTTTGTGTGCAACACGCTAAAAGTATTGACTTAGCAACTGAGCTCTTAAATAATGAATAGCAACACTACCACGTTACATACTTTCATGTCTAGCACGCCCAGCACTTCTTTATTTTACTTGGAGGAAGTCCCGTTTTTTTTTTTTTTTTTTTGTGTGCAACACGCTAAAAGTATTGACTTAGCAACTGAGCTCTTAAATAATGAATAGCAACACTACCACGTTAGATACTTGCATGTCTAGCACGCCCAGCACTTCGTTATTTCAACACGGCCTTTGAAATTCGGACTTTAATTACGGCGATACAACTTGTTGTTTCAGCCCGTGTTTCATTCCATGCTTTCATTCTATGCTTTTATACCATGCCTTCATTTCAGGCTTTCATTCAAAGCTTTCGATTTCATGCTTTCAGACCTTGCTTTCATTTCATGCTTTCAGACCTTGCTTTCATTTCATGGTTTCAAACCATACCTTCATTTCTTGCTATTGAAATGAATGTACTGTTTAAAATAATACTTTAATTTCATGCTTTCATATTATGCTTTCATACCATACCTTCATTTCGGGCTATTGAAATGAATGTAGTATTTAAAATAATGCTTTCATTTCATGCTTTCATTTCATGCTTTCATTTCGTGCTTTCATTTCATGCTTTCATACCATGCTTTCATACCATGCTTTCATACCATGATTCATACCATGCTTTCATACCATGCTTTCATACCATGCTTTCATACCATACCCTCATTACAGGCTATTGAAATGAATGTACTATTTAAAATAATGCTTTCATTTCATGCTTTCATAATTTTCTTTTGTACCATCCTTTCATTTTATGCTTTCATTTCATGATTTCATTTCATGCTTTCATACCTTGCTTTCGTACCATCCTTTCATTTCATGCTTTCTTTAAATTTCATGCTTTCATACCTTGCTTTCGTATCATCCTTTCATTTCATGCTTTTATTTCATGCTTTCATACCTTTCCTTCGTACCAATCTTTCATCTAATGCTTTAATTTCATGCTTTCATTTCATGATTTCATTTCATGCTTTCATTTCATTCTTCATTTCATACTTTCATTTCATGATTTCATACCTTGCTTTCGTAACATACTTTCAATTAATGCTTTCATTACATGCCTTCATACCTTGATTTCGTACCTTCCTTTGATTTCATGCTTTCATTTCATGCTTTCATTTCATGCTTTTATAACTTGCTTTTGTACCATCCTTTCCTTTCATGCTTTTATAACTTGATTTAGTCCCATCCTTTCATTTCATGCTTTTTTCATGCTTTCATATCTTGCTTTCCTACCATCCGTTCATTTCATCCTTTCATACCTTTCTTTTGTACCATCCATTCATTTCATGTTTTCATACCTTTCTTTTGTACCATCCATTCATTTCATGCTTTCATTTCATTGCTTTCATACCTTGCTTTCATACCATGCTTTTATTTCATGCTTTCATGTCCCAAGTGACACATTATTTTAAAGAGTATATTCATTTCAATAGCGGTAAGTGTTTTTTGTTTTTTTTTAAATCTCACTGGCTCTCGCATGTCTCAGTTTTATCAAAACTCAAACAAAAATTAACCACCAGGCACCAGACATTTCTAAGAGTCTTCACCCCCCCCAACCACTTGTGACCCCCAGGCACCAGGCATTTCTAGAGTCTTCAACCCCCCCACCCCTAACCACTTATGACCCCAAGGCACCAGACATTTCTAAAGTCTTCAACCCCCCCCCCCTTTACCACTTATGACCATCCCAAGGCACCCGACATTTCTAAAGTCTTCACCCCCCCCCCCCTTTACCACTTATGACCACCAGGCACCTGACATTCCCAGAGTCTTCAACTCCCCACCACTTGCGAACACTTGCTGTGTGCTTTTATTTCCATTAACACCAACTTTGCCGGGAGCGATTGACATGACGTAAACACTGGCAGCTTGATGTCCGTGAGATCGATGGAAGCACCGCCATAACTGTCGACAGCACTCACTAGAAATAACAGTCAGCCGCTGTCGCCTATCTTAAAGTCTCACCCCCCAGCCCCTACACCTGCAGCCATGCGCCCTCCTCCCCCTCTCACACTTATGTTATACTTGCACTTAATATTTTTATTTCTTAGATGAAAATTCCATTTTTTTTTCAATGAAGATCGGTCAATAAGATTAGTAGTGAATGTGGCCGGCGTTTCTCAGGGTTGTATACGGTTTAAAAAAACAACAACAAAACAATCTCCTAAAGCGTAATCAGAGTAAATGCCAATAGGGCCACTTTCAAAAGCACTCAAAGAACAACATCAAATCTTAAACTGTGTGGTTGAGCCATATACTTACTGATTGGAATGGCACCAACCATTTGTCTTATTTCCTGTTTCCAAATGTGGTCCTTTTCTGGTTTTGCCAGCAAGCAGCTCGCCTTAAGCATCTCGTCTCTCAGGTGACTATTTTTCTCTCGGGACTTTTATTCAGAGCCCAGGCTTGACCCTGTAATATTACCGTGTGATTTTTAAACAAAAAATCAGTAACACAATGTGTACGTAAACTTAGTTGTTCTTGTATTTAAGACGCTGATAATATGTGTACACCATTGAAATGGTTTAACAAAAGACGTGTAACATATATGGACTAAAATTGTTCCGTGTGTAACAAATGATGCTTTTTGAGACATTGCTATTCCCACTGAATGCACCCACCCAATGGGGAGAGGCAGTTTTACTTAATGCTGATATGATGCTAAATCACAATAGGACATACAATTCTCCCTCCCAGGCACACATCTACTATATAATAAACTTAGTAATAGAACTAATTTTTAAAAAAACACCCTAGACTGTAAACCCCTAGGCACCCCGGGCGCCTGGTGGCCGAGTGGTCTTAACTAAGTCGATCCCCAGCAAAAGCCTAGGCCAGCGAAAACGTCACCAGCGCACCGCATGTAAGGGCCTCGTTAACCTTGGATGGCAACTCATCTAAAAGAAGGCCATCTGTGAATTCAAACCCGGAGATGGAGTCCCGTAGGCGGTATGACATTGACATGATGGAAATTCCGACAATCCCCATAAAGAGGGCACAGTGTGACACAACAAATACTACTGGTCATCTACTGCATCCTTGTCTATTTCCAGTCGTCTTGACCAAGTCTGTCTTGTCAACGGATCAAATGGGCAAAAACATGAGAGTGAGTTGGATCAATTGAGCAACTCTCCCTCACTTTAAACAAGGTACAGTTCAGGTCAGGTTACTACTCAAGTCGAAAAATGGCCTTGGTCATCTCTGCGTGCGAAGGACGAACAACAACAGGAACGCAACGCCGCCTCTATGCTCGTCCATGAACTATGTGATAATTTTAATGCGCTGCCTTTGAAAGCATATAGAGTTAAGTTTCATTTATTATGCGTGCGCCAAACAAAAGATTTACATAAAATATTTGCTGGTATTTTTATAGACCATTCTTTATATTTTTTAAAAATCGTTTGATAGATGTTTGAAAGCGAATCATTCTGACTAAAGGATTATTAAAGATATCTCTCGAGGCCATTCTAAATGAAAACAAAATAAAAATTTTTAGTCTTTACCCTCTATATTATAAGATTTTTTTTTTTTATTACAGCTTTTGGTATTAAGGAATTATGGCTAAAGTTTCCACGAACCATCTCTTGGTCAGGAGGAATGCCCACGTCAAATTTGGTTGAGATCCATTTGCTGGTTTTCTCGTGATCGATCGATCCATACGCATACATGCAAACATATAAACGCAGTCACACTAGGCTTTCTATAGTAGATAGTAGAACGCATTAGACGTTTAATAGATTAAATATGTATTTCAAGTAATCAATTTGCGCTAACAGTCTACCGTTAGACGTTAAACCATCGTTAAATTTTAAGTTGTTTTTTTAAATCCTTATGCTTGTGATTGGATGATTTTTTTTAAAGAGCCTTAGTAACCGTCGTTTTCAAAGCCTTAACATTGCCGGGAATTTGTGTGTGTGTGTGTGTGTCCTTTGGGGGGTGTCTGTTTAAACAACCATTGTTTGGATAGCTGTAACAAGACGAGGGAGTTCTGTTGTAGCAACAATCGTTGTGCCAGTTGGTACCTAGCTAGGAGATAATGTTGAAACAACTGTTGTTGGAATAATAATCAGTTTGATGACGCGGGATGCTGTTGTAACAACAATGGGTTGGATAGCTGTCACGTGAGTGGTAGGATCTAATGTGGCAACGATTGTTTGGATAGCTGGTACTTAATGAGAAGCTTCTGGTGCAATCGATGGCACACGCGAGACGCCGTGCTGTACAGAATGATGCACCATTATCTGGAAACGTTCGATCGTCTTCAGACGGCAATGCCAGTGCAACGTTCTACAAAAGATTAGAAATCATTTTAAGAAAAGAAATTTGAAAAAAAAAAACGTTTTTTGCTTTTTTCTAAGTCATTTGATAACAAATTGCTTACTTACAATCTGAATACATACTATCTACTGACACACTGATTACATTTGGCTTTAATCAAACTCTGATCACATATTGTTTAGACAAACTCTGATCACATATTCCTTACTCCTGATCTGATTATAAACTCCTCCTAAAAATCAAGAATTAAAGTAACACATAGGATGGCTTCTATCGTTAAAACTACTTTTTGTAACGGGATAATATCATTAATATAAACTTCTGATATTCATGTATTTTTTTTAAAAAATAGTTTCTCCGGCTTGCAGTAAGACAAGCGATGCTTGCGGAAAGATCGTAGAAACACACGCGTGTTCCGACTTAGCCTAGCCAATTTAAAATTAGCCTTTCTAAATTCGGCTATACATAATGGATTTCGGCTCGTGGATAGACGTATCATTGAATCCACAAGCGCAGCTGTCGTACAAAATCAATATGAAAGCAATATCATTCTTATTCAATGAGAATATCAACACTTATATACCTCCCTGACTATATTATACCATACAATTAGCGTACAGTGTGACGTAGATGGAATGTGTGTCTGCGGTTGTATTTAACAGTGAAAATATGGAGAATCTTATTACAATTCAAACAAAAGAAATTTAGAACACATGGTAAGGGAAAACCGGAAGTAACAAAAAAAAACCAGTGCATGTTTCGCTCAGGAAGACTTATACAGCGAACAAGAGAACACCCCTTTTTTTCCCCTTAGTGGCGGATAACGTCATGTAATACAATTTGTGTTTTTTTTTTATCATCGCTACATGTCTGTCTCGTAGGCAAGAACTTAAGCCAGGAACAGTATGTTTATCATGCCCTTAAACTATATTAGTTAAAACCCCGAAGGTTTGTGCTAGCCTACACTAGACAGAATATGTGTATGTCTTCTCGCATGCTCAAGGCTCGGAAAGAATTCAACCACCCCAGAGTTGGCTCACTCTCACATCCCATTCATCCATGTCTTCCCTCTGCCAATGGGTTGAGTAAAAAAAAAAAAAACAACAGAAATTTAGTCGTAATTATAGCAGCTAAGCTTTGTTATCTTGAGCCCTTAAAGGTTATGTGTGTGTGGGGGGGGGTGTTGAACGGGGCCAATAAGGGCTCACTATATCTGCTGGCCTGAGCAAAAATAATTGTTCCTATGTTACCATTATTGTACACAGAATTCTATCAATGGAAATTTTGAAACTTAAACACTTCTAGCAGATGTGCTTTAAACAAAAAAAATAAAAAAATAAAAATATTACCATTGCCATTTAATTTATTTTTCCATTTCATTTATTAGCTAGTAGGTATATTTAGAATCATTATATATACATACAATAGAACCCGGTTATGTCGACGGCCTATGGGTTTTCGAAAAAGCAATAACCGATGATCGAGGTAAACGAAAACCATTATGGCGGTAATATATATAAATATATATATATATATATATATATGTGTGTGTGTGTGTGTGTGGGTGTATGTGTGCTTGAAATTTCTTTATGTATATGAAGTGTATTAATAAATGTAGGTACTTTAGTAAAAAAAAATAAAACATATCTAAGACTAGATCTAACAGAGTTTGGAAGACACCAGTTCCACAGTAAATCTTCTTGACATTACTGCCTTACTTAAGTTCAAATTGTTGTACACAGAAAGTCAAGCATCTCATTCTATCTGTGCGATCAGCATCTGTTACAATCGTTTTCACTTTTTTTTTTCCCCCAAGCATTATGTTGTTGTTGTTTTTTTCGTCATGAAATAACTCTCTGGAAATTCCCCGTGCTTCTCTTATCGAAACTATTACTATTTCCACCGATCCTCTCTCTCTCTCTCTCTCTCTCTCTCTCTCTCTCTCTCTCTCTCTCCCTCTCTCTTTCTTTCTTTATCAATCCACAGTAATCCACACTTACTAATTCTGTGTTGTATCCACTCTCTCAACCCACTGCTTCTCTTATCGACACTATTACTATTTCCACCGATCCTCTCTCTCTCTCTCTCTCTCTCTCTCTCTCTCTCTCTCTCTCCCTCTCTCTTTCTTTCTTTATCAATCCACAGTAATCCACACTTACTAATTCTGTGTTGTATCCACTCTCTCAACCCACAGCGCATCTGCGCGATTCTTCATGATGAATTTTACCGCACGTAGTAGATGTAGATCTATATTTTACAAATATTTTGCTTTAATATAAAGATTTTCGAACCTTCTGAAAATGGTGCTCAGTGAGGGGTCCCGCTCCGAATGGGGCTCAGTGAGGGAGGACGCTACGACCAACCAGCCCCCCCGCCCTTCCCCCCCCCCCGCACCTCTCCCCACTTTTCGCAGGTTACCGGAAATTTGATCGAAAGAAATTTCGTCGACGGTAAATTGATCGACGGTAATTTGATCGACCGGAAATTTGGTCGAATCTTTTTTTCAGTTCACACGTTAAGATGTTCGTCAAATTTCTTTTATAGTAAAACAAAATAATGCGTTCAAAAAGACATTTGAAGCAAAATTTAAAAGTAAAAACGGAAAAAAAGATTCGACCATATTTCCGTTCGATCAAATTACCGTCGATCAAATTACCGTCGATCAATTTACCGTCGACGAAATTTCTTTCGATCAAATTTCCGGATACGCTTTTGGCACGGACCTGTTGATCAGCTTGCAATATCCTAGTCTGAGAAGACAAAATACGTCTTACGTCAGCGTTACTTCCCCCCCCACCCCACTCTCGGCCACACACACACACACACACATTTTTCTTCCAACTATGGCAAGTTTAATGTCCCTTTAACGCCCAGGGGGGAGAGCAATCTCAGCTCAACGCAAGCCATTAATGCCATAAATAGCCAACCAATCAAAGGTTTGCTCTGCAAGCTTTAAGGCATGTCTCAACTGAGCGTTTTTTTGTTTTGTTTTGTTTTTTTAAATTTTTATTTTACTTTTAAGAATATATATTTCAAGGCTGATGCGATAATCTCTTCCCCCCACCAACACACACACACAGTTGGCACACACATAATGTAGCATGGGTAATATTTCCGTGCCACATTTCAAAATTTAGTTGAAGGTGCATTACAACAAGTTTACATTCTGTGATTTAGAGGGAGAGAGGAACACTAAACCATTAAAATGTGATCCCGCCCCTGTGTGGAAGTACATTTTACATTGTACAGTCTGTACCCATACATGTCTTTCATTAAGCTCTGACTCGCTAAAATGATAGGGATTCGCTGTATGTTGGACGTACTTAATACATTACTAGCCAGAAGTAAAAAAGGGCGTAAAGTATGATTCTTTACGTTCATTACTTTGGGGGCACGCTCATGCATTCCTGTTAACCGTAAAAAATAATTGATTAGAGCCGTATGGATAACGGTACATATGAATTACTTATATGAAGCTATATTTTACTAGAGCCGTATGTATGACGGTACAGACAAATTAGCTACATGCAGCTATATTGACTGGATGCTTATGTGTAACGTTACATATAAATTAGCTATATGCAGCTATACTGACTGGAATTGTCAATGTAACGGTACTTATAAATTAGCTATATGCATCTATACTGACTGGAATTGTCTATGTAACGGTACATATTATACATTAGCTATATGCTTCTATAATGACTGGAATTGTCTTTGTAACGGTACATATAAATTCGCTGTATGCAGCTATATTGACTACAGCTTATATTTAAAGTTACCTATTAATTAGCCATATATAGTTAAAGTCGATGCCGTTATCTAGAAAAATGGTTTTCCCAAATTTTGTCTTATCCTGCTCTCTCTACGAAAAATTTTTCTAATGTAAGCACCCTCAAAAATTGTTGGACTTTTGCATGACTTCATACATAACAATACATTTTATAAAAATAACATATATAACAATACATTAAGTAACGTATTCAATACAATACAATTTAAAATTGAAAATTACTTCTATCCTTTTTAATATTTGAAATACAAATAAAAATGTAAAAATTATAATTCAAATTTGGGATAGAAAGTAAAATTTTAATGTGGGAATTCAAAATGAAAGGGACATAATTTATACGATAACTTTAACGTCAAAGGTTCTACTATTCTCTGAAATAATTTTCCTCGCATCCTCATGAAGTGCCGCTAATCGCTCAAAGGGGACGTGAGCACTTTGTCACGCAAACAACATTAAAAGAACGTTTTAGATGAGTAGCTAAGATGCAGGAAGTAACTTCCTGATAACGCTGATCGATCTTAGCATTACAACAATTGAGATGAAGGAGAGCCCAACTCCTCAGGAAATCTCAAGCCGAACGTCTTCGATCAACAACCATCAATATTTTCCTCCAACCTACCGTCATTGTATCTGCTTGAATGAAGCACGTCCCAGTCTAAAGGGAATGCCCGTTAAATGCGTGATTTCATGCAGCATTATCTTCAGTTGAATGTTGCTTTCATCTTTACTACACATCAGGCGTTCAGTATGTAATTTCATGCAGCATTATCTTCAGTGGAATGATGCTTTCATCTTTACTACACATCAGGCGTTCAGTATGTAATTTCATGCAGCATTATCTTCAGTGGAATGATGCTTTCATCTTCACTACACATCAGGCGTTCAGTATGTAATTTCATGCAGCATTATCTTCAGTTGAATGATGCTTTCATCTTCACTACACATCAGGCGTTCATTATGTAATTTCATGCAGCATTATCTTCAGTGGAATGATGCTTTCATCTTCACTACACATCAGGCGTTCAGTGTGTAATTTCATGCAGCATTATCTTCAGTGGAATGTTGCATTCATCTTCACTACACATCAGGCGTTCAGTATGTGATTTCATGCAGCATTATCTTCAGTTGAATGATGCTTTCATCTTTACCATACATCAGGCGTTCAGTATGTAATGTCATACAGCATTATATTCAGTTGAATGATGCTTTCATCTTTACTACACATCAGGCGTTTAGTATGTAATTTCATGCAGCATTATCTTCAGTTGAATGATGCTTTCATCTTTACTACAGATCAGGCGTTCAGTATGTGATTTCATGCAGCATTATCTTCAGTTGAATGATGCTTTCATCTTTACTACACATCAGGCGTTCAGTATGTGATTTCATGCAGCATTATCTTCAGTGGAATGATGCTTTCATCTTTACTACAGATCAGGCGTTCAGTATGTAATTTCATACAGCATTATCTTCAGTGGAATGATGCTTTCATCTTTACTACACAACAGGCGTTTAGTATGTAATTTCGTGCAGTGCATGGACAGCTTGAGAGGTTCTCACTATTTTTACATTTTAAGTAACACGTCTCATCGAAGGGATTCTATCCTTTATCCGAAGCTCGCATTAGGTGTAAAATAAATGATTAATAACTCCATTAACGAAGAATTCTAGATGGTGTTATTTTTTTAAAACCGGTTTTTGGCAAAAGGCTCCGACGTTTTCAAAGTAAATTTAATTTGTTTGAATTTCATTAATAAAGTCTCTTTATTTCTGACTTACATGTTTCTCTTACGTCTAAATGTGTAATGCCGGCTGATGAGAGAAAATATAGTTTTGTGACCATGGTGAACAGGGCGTCCATGTTGCCGTGTACGGACATTCCCCGCTTCTATGGTCCGATCGTGGCCAATATCGCATCGAAAAACGTGGCAAGGCGTCCATTTTGCCGTGTACGGACATTGTCGGTTTCCGTGATCCGGATATTTAAAAGCGGAAAAGTTCATTTAGTTTTAAATGGTCAATCATTGATTGATGTAATTGTGAAGGTATCTTATTGTTAAGTTGATGTAATTGTAAAAGTATCTTATTCTTAAGTTGATGTAATTGTAAAGGTATCTTATTGTTAAATTGGTGTAATTTTTGAAGGTATTTTATTGTGAAATTGATGTAATTGCGAGTGGATCTTATTGTTAAGTTGATGCAGTTGTGAAAGCATCTTATTGTTAAGTTGATTTAACTGTGAAGGTATCTTATTTTTAAGTTGGTATAATTTTGAACACATCTTATAGCTAAGTTGGTGTAATTGTGAACACCTCCTCCAGTTAAGTTGATGTAATTGTGAACACATCATCTAGTTAAGTTGATGTAATTGTGAAGGTAACTTATTATTAAGGTGATGTAATTGCGAACATATCTTATGGTAAAGTTGATGTAATTGTGAAAATATCCTCTAGTTAAGTTATAGGAGCCAGAATGATCAATTCATTGATCTTGGGCCCTTAAAATATAGAAGAAGTAGAAGAAGTTTATGTAATTGTAAAGATATCTTATTTTTAAGCTGAAGTGTTTATCCTTCAAAATAATTTTTTTTTTAAATTAACGCCGAAATTGAAAAACCATATTTTGTATTCTATCTTTGATGCGGTCACATACGGACTTTTCAGATAATTCCTGTCTTGATGTCATTCTTTCGTCACGAATCATCCATTAGGATATTGCAAACCGTTGTCATTGGAGGAGCCAAAGACAAATCAATATCCTCATCGATTGGTCTTCCCCTTCCCAGCCAGCCTGGTGTTTCAGCTGCGACTGGCCCCGATATATATATATATATATATATATATATATATATATATATATATATATATATATATATATATATATTTATATGGTTCGTCCATCGCATATGGCGATGACCAAGACATTGACTTGAGTAGTAGCCTTGACTTAAGTTGTATTTTGTTAAAATGAGGGAGAATTGCTCAGTTCGTCCGGCTCACACGCTCGTCTTAGCCTATTTGATCCAATGGCAAGACTTAGTCAAGACGACTGGAAATAGACCAGGATCCAGTAGATGACCAGTAGTGTTTCTTGTGTTGTGTCTCATTGTGCTCTCAATGCGTTCCACGTCGCAGTAGTTGAAATTTGCATTGTGTCATCCCGCCGACAGGCTCCTACATTACTAAAGTGTTGCCAACATTTAATATCACATCGCTCACAGCGTGTTATAATTTTATAATCTTTTAATTTAAAATATTTTCTGGTCTACCCAATTTGGTTTGTGACGTCTTTTAAAACCGAATTATTTTAGACATTCCTGTCTCCTAATGACAGACTTCAGAGTTTATTATCGTCAGACTCAGGGTATCTCATTGATAGACTTTCAATGAGACGTTATATCAATGCGATTCAAAATGATAGTATTATTTTGTAAACATATTTAATTGAAAAGCATTCCAGTGGAACATAAAGTTATTAAGCTCATGATTGACAATTAATCACCCAATCTGTATGCTATTTTCTTTCCAATTCTTAAAAATTAATTCTTCTTAAATTCAGTCAATTGTAAATGTGTCAAAATTTATTCCATTTAATTTAATGATATGTTGTTTTTTTTTAAATTCTTACAGGTGATCTCATTTGAAGACCTGGACCAAAATCCTCTGGTGAGCACCATTTGTAAACCTTACCTGGCCCTCGGTGAACTGTGCCTTCGACAGCCTGAGGGCTACCTATGTGAATGTATGCCAGGCTTGCGCTGCGAGTTCAGAAATAACGAGACGTATGGTGTATGTTCGCCGGGGTAGTCTCTCGTCGAACTTACAACTGGTATCAACAAGTCAATCTGTGTTCACCGGGGTAGTCTCTCGTCGAACTTACAACTGGTATCAACTAGTCAATCTATGTTGGCCGGGGCTGTCTCTCGTCGAACTTACAACTGGTATCAACAAGTCAATCCATGTTCGCCGGGGCAGTCTCATGTTAATCTAAAATGTTGTATCAACCAGACAATCTGTGTTCTTTAAGGTTTCCTACGTGGTCAAGCACGCGCTGAGCTGCAGTTTTGTTCAATGCGGCTAGGGTATACCTGTCGTGAAATGATTAATGTGTATAGTGCTTTGGAACAACTGTAATACTTAAATGACCTATCCTACCTCGGAAACAGTTACCATACGTTAAATTAATCAAACATCGAAGGCTTAAAATTAACAATGTATGGCCATTGTTTTTTTAGAAGTACCAATGATAAAATAACGTTTTTTATTTTTAATGTACACATTGCACGAACGAATATCTACTAGCCATTGCACAATTAACCACCTGTTATTCGAGGCATCATGCTAGATTGACAAACTTCTTAAAGTAATGAACATTGTCAATTATGAATAAGTACAATACAACAGTTATATCGTTGCCAGCTATATATGGTATTAATTTGTAGAGAATTTCTTACTTAAAAATAATAGCAATAAATTATTAACGATAGTTTTCTGAAATAAGAAATCCAGCGCTCTGACCTCTGACCTCCTAATGCCTACACATCGATCGATCGATCAACCATTTCGATGAAACTTGTTGGAGTCAGCCAGTAAGGGAATGTTTTGTAGTTTGAAATGTTATGGTGAAGAGACAATTCTTAAAAACTTCCACAAATGCCATACATTCATTAAGAACACAGTGACTTCCATTGTCAAATTAACATATGTATGAGCTCTTAAATGTTACTCTTTGGAAATACGAATAATTTAAATAATGTATTTCAATTGATTTAACCGATTCTCATTCGAGCTTAAGGAAATGAACTCTTTAAATTAAAGCGAAAAAAATTGAATGAAAATGGGGGCTTAACAATTTTAATCTTTGACCCGTACAGTTTCTTTAAATTATCATATGTTGCTTCCCTTGATTTATGCGTCTGTTCTTTTGGGGGAAAATTGAAAAAAAAAAAAATTTGAACAAAAAAAAATTGAAAAAGGACAGTTTTCACAGCCATAGAGCCATTCGATAGGATTCAACAGAGGAGAAGGGTCTAAGCGTCATATTTTATTTGGCGCATTCTAGCTAGTCAAATTTCCAAAGGTTAAGTCTCACAGACCTTTGATGACACACTGATAAGCATGCTTATCGATTTTGACATCGTGTTGACTGGCCTTTCAACAAGACATTACATAGCATTGTAGATTGTAAAGATGTCAGTCGCTATGCCAGTTGTCATCAGTTAAATGCAATATACGTTAAGTTTCATGTGTTTGACGATCAACGGGGCATTTCAACTGTTTCACAGACAACATGACATTTCAACTGTGTCATGATCAACATGACATTTCAACTACGTCATAATAATCATGCAATTTCAACTGTGCAATTTTTAACATGAAATTCGAGTGATGAAACGACTAACATGATATTTCTGTTGTGTTATACTAAACAAGTCATTTCCATTGTGTTATGATCCACATGGCATTTCAACTGTACCATGACCCACATGACTGGTTCAATTTTAGTCATCATAGGCAGGACAATAGTATGTGGAAGGGGGGGGGGGTCAGAAAGTTCTAGAAGGATCGCATTCTTCCCAAACCTCTGTAGGATCCCATGACGAGTGTATTTAAACTGCGACTGAGACTCTACAAGGTTAGTGGGGGTTTAAAAAAAAAATTAATGATCACTTAATGAACGACCACTTGTTTTTTTTATCCGTCTCTTAATTCGGACCGAACAGTTTATTATGTTTTTAACAACACTCTTTCTAAAGCTCAGCCCATGACAATTTTATGCTGTCTACCGGAGAGAAGGTAGCATCAAAAACTATCTTATGATCCATCCGTACAAGAATTGTATTACCCTTGAACATGTTCAAAAATATGTGTTACTCCAAAAAGGGTGCAGGAATTCTTTACCAACGGGTTTTCCCCTGTGCGAGGACAAGTGATTAGGAGAACAGAGGAACAATCTAGTTTCAAGTAACAATATAAATGATGATAATATATTTTAAAATGTCATCATCAACACTGCTTGCTTTTTTTTATTACTTATTTAGTTTTACAAATCTTTTTGTGTTCTCAAGATTAAGATCAAACTAAGACAGATTATAAGAACAAATATTTGAACTGTACACTTCTAATTATAGCACACAAATGGGTATCTTTGATTTGTCTGCATTCAGCCTTTTTCTTTTGTTCATTTTCTATAAGAATTTTGTTTTAATAAAAATTTGGATTGTCATGATTATAATTGTTATTGTTGAATTATCATTTTTATGCAAAATGCTTCTTATCACATTTTTATGTTATTCCGAGACTGTAAGGGTTACTGCTTTTACATATAATCAGGATATGCAGAGAATGCTGCAATGCTAAAATGATACAATGGTATAATGGTATAATGGAACAATCTACAATGCTATAACAATGGTTCAATGGTACAATGCTACAATGGCACAGTGGTACAATGATACAATATTACAATGGCACAATTTACAGTGCTATACAATAGTACAATGCTACAATGGTTCAATGCTACAATGGTGCAATGCTACAATGTAAATTACTCTGCTGTGAAGGAAGGCTTTAACGGGGTCGTTCTCAAGTTTTCATTTAACCCACATTTTTATTTCACTCTCATCATTGCTGTCATCACACAAAGACAGTCATTTGATGACAACAAGCCCAGGAACAATGTTTCACTGGTATCGTTTCCCTTACTTCTTTCTTTTTGCCCCTTCAATAACTTATGTAAATAAAAAAAAAATTGTAAATGGGATGCCTATTAAATCAATACCTCATTACACCTCCTAAGGTCGAGATCATATACGTTTTAAAAAAAATATATATTTTATTTTGGACTTTATGGCAGTGCCCTTTAAAAATGAAGGGTCCCTAGGCAAGCACGTCATTTCCTTTTAGCTTCACCCGGTACTGCTAGGATGCTATCTAAATATAACCAAGACTTTGATCTGCATTTTGTTTGTTAAGAGCTGGTACTGAGTAACATTCGAGTTAGAGTTAATGTTTAAAGCGTATGGAACGATAAGGTTCGTGAAGAATGATAAGTCATGCTAATTGTTGCTTATTTAAATACTCTTTTAGCAAGACAGATGACAGACGTATTATTGAAATTAATGCGGCACACACAATTGGTGTAAATAAAAACAATATAATGTTCAGCTTAAAGCGTCGGTTCATACTATCAAATTTTCCTTCAAACTTTTGATGTAATGTGTGTTCGAAGCCTTGTCACAACTTTCAAATCATCATTTGATCCAATTACTTTGGCATGCAATTTATTTTAGTATTATTGCGCAACCACCATATCACGTGAACAAACACTAAAAATAAAAAGAAGTTCACCAATCCAGGTCGTGTTTACATTGACTACGCTGTTATCAAAACAACAGCAGACTCCCAAAAAAGAATTATTTAGTTAATTTAGAAAAAGATATAACATAATAATTATAAAATAAATGGGCGCAGTGCATGATAAAATTGAAATTTATTTTTATACAGGCTAGTCACTAATCACTAAGTTAGAACTTAGACTTAGGATAAATAATTTATAATTTTTACTAGTTTCTTCTTTCTGATTCTGCTACGGCTACGACTAGCATCTGCGACTTTAATTGTAATGAGACAAAGTTCGAATTAAAAAGTTTTAGTTTATACATTCATCATTACAACAAAACAAATATATTCAAACAACGCTAAAATAATAATTTTGAAGTTTAAATTTGTAATAAGTACATCTTGTCTACTGGGTACATTTGCGAAAGAAAAAAAAAAGTGTATTTGTCTTGGAGAAAAAGAGTATCGCGGGTTGTTGAATATCATTTCTGCTCTCATATCATTTGGTGTTGTCATTGGTTTGTTCTAAGTAAACATGGATCGGGTGACGTCACCGTGAATGAAGAGGAAGGAAATCATTCAGAGTAAAGGTAAACATTTTATTTTAAAAACTGTATCAATGGGTCTGTTTTAATTAACCCTGCTTAACTTACTGGAATCGAGTTTAGGAACAACGAAGATGATTTTGAAACCAAGCCAAAGTGGTAAAAGAAGCGGCTGCCACGGGCAAGCTACTCTGTTGTACACGAATTCGAACGTATCCCATACTTTTGGATGGGTACACGTCATAGTGGAAGTAGATAAGATCCTTTTTCTATTTAAAATTGTGTTGATCAAACATGGTTTTACTTGCACACGTCGGGCAACGTGATTTACACCGTCCTGTGTGAAAAATGAGGAAAATCTTATGTACGGGAAGATATGTCATTAAATATATAGCATGATCAAAATAGTTGTTGGGATTGAGAAATGTTTAGCGTAAAGGGGCAAGATAATATATAGAATGAGTGTGGGCTCGGTAGGGCAACAAGTTGTGGGCTTATGTTAAAAGAACATTCTTTTTTTGAGAATATCAAGATCATTAGAAACGTGGCTTATTATTGGAGACAATGGGCTTATTCTCAATTAGAAAGTGGGTTTTGTAAAAACTAAATGTATGATTGACGTACTTTGAAGCTCTTTTGGTGGAGAGCTGAATGGTAATAATATTATTAGCATGTATATACAATGTTGGGGTGACTGATGAGTTATGGAGAGTTAGGTTCACAGATGCTCAGGATAAGAGCAGAATGGTCAGTACATGACCGGTGTTGTTGAGCTATAAGTGAATCAGGGGAGAATCCTAGAACAGAAATTGGTTGATTTTTTAAAACACCCGAGTCGGGGATACTAACAAGCCAAGAGACAGTGCCGTCTTGTGGCACTGACAAGCCAAGAGACAGTGCCGTCTTGTGGCACTGACAAGCCAAGAGACAGTGCCGTCTTGTGGCACTGACAAGCCAAGAGACGGTGTCGTCTTGTGGCACTGACAAGCCAAGAGACAGTGCCGTCTTGTGGCACTGACAAGCCAAGAGACGGTGCCGTCTTGTGGCACTGGACAATCTTGTGGCACTGACACAGTCTTGTGGCACTAACACAATCTTGTGGCACTGACACAGTCTTGTGGCACTGACACAGTCTTGTGGCACTGAAACAGTCTTGTGGCACAGACACAGTCTTGTGGCACTTACACAGTCTTGAGGTACTGACACATCATGGGCAGTGCAGTTGCTCATCCCCCCCCCTCCAAATCGCCACATGCTGTAAAGACGGCTATGACCTAGTGCCATGTACACTCTGAACGTGATTTTGAAAAAAATGTCAATGAACGAGTTGGAGCCCGTTAATATGGCGTTTCATTTGTTCCATCATATCGAAACCGTCTGTGAAACCCAATCATGTCAGCGTTTCATTTGTTCCATCATATCGAAACCGTCTGTGAAACCCAATCATGTCAATATCGAACCTGACAGAATGAGCCAGGGAGTGTTCGTCAATAGAAAGTGTTTTTAAATTTTTGTACTCTGGTAATTTTGATATAAGATGTAAGAGACGTCAGCAAGTAGAATAATATGAGAACACCTGCTTGGCGTCATATATTATTTTGGCATTGGACAAATAAAAGGTTGATTATTTAGATAATATCTTGATATAGCTTTTTTTATAGACCATATTTCAAACTAAAGTGAAACTATATAAGCTCAAGTTCCATTCTTTAAAAAATAAATAATTCATGGTAAAAGCGATAGCTAACACTGATGAACTTCAACCAAATATCGCCGATCATTGCTAATGGTTCTAGTTTTTACTGATGAATTTAATTCATATGGTTATAAATTTTACTGATCAATTAAGACCAAATACCTCCGATCTTTGCTAATGGTTCTAGTTCTTAATGATGAATTTAGACCAAATACCTCCGATCTTTGCTAATGGTTTTAGTTTTTAATGATGAATTTAGACCAAATACCTCCGATCTTTGCTAATGATTCTAGTTTTTAATGATGAATTTAGACCAAATATCTCCGATCTTTGCTAATGGTTCTAGTTCTTAATGATGAATGATGAATTTAGACCAAAAATCCCTAATCATTGCTAATGGTTCTAGTTTTTACTGATGAATTTAGTTCATATGGTTATAAATTTTACTGATCAATTAAGACCAAATAACTCCGATCTTTGATAATGGTTCTAGTTCTTAATGATGAATTTAGACCAAATACCTCAGATCTTTGTTAATGGTTCTAGTTTTTAATGATGAATTTAGACCAAATATCACCGATCTTTGCTAATGGTTCTAGTTCTTAATGATGAATTATGAATTTAGACCAAAAACCCCTTATCATTCCTATGTTTCTACTTTTTACTAAGGAAATTAGATCAAATATCCACAGTCATTGCTAAGGATTCTAGTTCTTAATGATAAATTTAGACCAAAACTCCTCGATCACTGCTAATGGCTTTAGTTTTTGCTCGTGTGAATAGACCTCGTATTGCTGGTCGGCAAAGTAACTGCTGCGAACGTAATCACTAACAAATCACGATTTTTTACATATTTGTATGTGTACAGATGACATTCTAAATCTAAACACTGAACGTGAGATATGAAAGTATCCCGTCCTATCTGTATTGAGACTGATGTGAACTGCAAAAACTAAAGTCTAGTCATAATGTAACTTAAAAACATCTTTTCGAAACGGGACAAACTTATCAACCACTTACTTCACTTAGTAAAGAAGGACTCGACATTTACCGATATTAATGGAATACATAAAAAAATATTATTTTATTCAAATTTCAAACAAACAAAAGCAGTTATCTTGGATAATGGATTTTTTAAAATATTCATTACATGACAATAATAAATACGAGAAATACTTAAAATGGTAATTTAAGATGGGTAGTAACTTAAAAGAAGCATTGTCGGTGGAACGGTGACATGAAATAAGAGAATTATGGTTAAACGTCTGAATGAAAAAGAGATTTGCTGTGCAAGGTCTCAATGTGAAACAGTGTATTGTATTCAAAGGTCTAAATGTAAAATAATGTATTGTATTCAAAGATCTCAATGAAAAAGAGCATTGTCTGGGGGGGGGACTAAAAAAAGAGATGTGTGGTGGAAAGTCTAAAAAGACAGAAAATGTGAAGTGTGGACGGAAGGAATAAATAAGAAAGAGCATTGAGGTGAAAGTTCTAAATAAAAGGAGCATTGTGGTGGAAATTCTAAATTAAAAGGAGCAACGGGGTTGAAGGTCTAAATGAAAAAGTGCATAGTGTTGGAAGGTCTAAATGAAATAAAAGAGCGTTGTGGAAGGAAAGATCATTGATGTCGAAGGTCTAAATGAAAAAA